GATTACTGAGGGAAGCACATGGTCAAGTAGAAGTCAGTAACCTCAAGGTTTGTTCTTTTTTGGGAGGAGGGGAGGGAAGATACTGCATATAATAACAGCTAGTATTTATGTAGTATTTCAAGCACTGTGAAGCACTTTACAAATACTGTAAGGATAAAATACCATTTCACAGATGAGGAAATTGAGGAAAGATAGAGTTTAAGTGACTTGCCAGGAGTCACATAACTGATGCCAAATTAGAACTCGTCTTCCTGACTCCAGGTCCAATGTACTAGTTAGCTGCATATAACTTTATTTGATTATTTACAATCTAGAGTGAAAAATGTCACCCTGAAGTATAGAGCACAATGCGGAAATAGTGGCTACTTTTTAAATATTCAATGAGGCTCCTGTTGTTGGAGGTAATTCTCCTTCTAATAATGTTGCTGTTCAGTCGTTTCATTCATCTCTGATTCTTCATGACCATATTTGGGGTTTTCTCATCAGAGACACTGGAATAATTTGCCATTTCCTTTTCTAGCTCATTTTACAAATGAGGAAACTGAGGCAAACAGGGTTAAGTGCTTTGCCCAATGTCACACTGCTAGTAAGTGTCTGAGGCCAGATTTGAATTCAGGTCCTCCTGACTCAAGGGCCTGGTACTCTAGCCATTGTGCCACCTGGCTGGCCCTTCGAAAATAATATGTATATTCAGTTCTGAGGTACACACCTTAAAAAAGTGTTTTAAAGCATTTTATCAATATGTAATAATAATTAGAGCCAACATCTATCTAGCACTTTAAGCTTTGCAAAGCATTTTACAAATATTATGTCATTTGATCCTCACAAACAACCCTGGGAGACAGGTACTATTATTACCCCCTTGATGAGGGAAACTGAGGCAGACAAAGGTTAAGTGACTTCCCCAGGCTCACACAATGAGTTTATGAGGCTGAGTTTGAACTCAGATCTTTCTGCATCTAAGTCCAATACTTTCTATCCACTGTCACCTACCTGCCTGTAGCATAAACCAAAGTTCCCTATTTTAAAAAGAACCTATATAAACACTCATTCACAAATGTGCTTTAGACATATACATATACAAGTGTGAGTGTGCATAAATTAGTGTTTTATTTTTAAACCTAAGTCAAAAAGTATTAAGAAAATTTATGTATCTCCACCAAAACAGATTTCTTCAAATTTCAGCTACAACAGGAAAAAAAGCATATTTTCCTATGGAAAATAGTCACCAAAGTGCTGTTTAAAAAAAAAATTTAATGAAAAAAAAAATTCCCTTGAGATATTTACTTAATTCTAAAAGTACGAGGATTAAGACAATCCATTCAGTTGTGCCCCAGTATAGCAGGATGTATTTCTTCTCTTTATCTTCAGGATATCTGATCATCTATTTTGTTTTATCTCAAGAATTACTTCCAAGATAAGTGGAAGCTATGCTACTTAAATTCTTTTGGTTGTCCACTTTGCACCTAGTACTACACCACTGGGGACCACTGTATCAATCTGAAGGAAAAGGGAGTGCTAAAGGCAACTATCACACATAATTGGAGAAGAAATTAATCCCAACCAAAGTATTTATGCTTCAGCTTCTGAAGATGTTCTTTCCCCTTGATCCAAATCCTTTTGAGCCTCAAACACCCAGTGACTTTTTCTAACAGTTTCCTCACCTTTAAAATGGGAATAATAATAGCACCTACCTCTTAGAGTTGTCGTGAAGATGAAATGAGATCACATTTGTAAAAGGCACTTAGCACAGATTCTGGCACATATAGGCACTTAATAAAAACTTATTTCCTTCCTTCCTTCCTCATCATTGATGTGATTCCACTAGCACAAGCCAGTTGCAGACTTGCTTATTACGTTCCAAACAAAATTTCATTACCATCCAAAAATCACATGATAATAATGAGATAATTGGTATTATATGAGAGATCTACAGGGAAAGATAGCATATTGTTGGACTAATTGGAAATGGTAAGTGGAAAAAATGATTTTGCTGGGTGCCTGATGCAACACAGCTGTGTCTGGCTGACCAAGTCACTTCTGGAAAGATCCTTGCTGTTGTTGAAGAGAGAGTCACAGTCTGCATAGCTGGTTCCAAGCCTTAGCTTCCTGAGCTCTGAGCTATGTCATGGGCCTCATTAATATCAGATGTATGTGGTGGTATAGTGGACAGAGCACTGAACTTGGAATCAGGGAGACTGATCTTCATGAGTTCAAATCTGGTCTCAGACACTTACTAGCTGTGTAACCTTGGGCAAATCACTTAACTCTCTTTGCCTCGGTTTCCTCACCTGTAAAAAAAAAAAAAAGAGCTGGAGAAAGAAATGGCAAACCACTCCAGGATCTTTGCCAAGAAAATCCCAAATGGGGTCATGAAGAGCCTGACATGACTAAACAGCCTGTAGTAACGAGGAAGACACTGTTCCCATGCAGAAAGGAAAGTTTTTATACTCCAAAGGAGGGCTAGAGGGAATGATACTGGCAGCTCCTTCATGACATCTCCTATGTTGGTGTTATCAAAGGTAACTGAAGGGGATGCCGGGAGGAACTAATGGAATAAGGAAAGTGATGTTTCTGAGAGGGCTCTGTAGGAGTTGAGGATGAATAGTATGTGCTTACCACATAGGAGACTATGGATGTAGATCTTCCAACCTAGCCCACAGACTATCCAGGGGTGGGAAACCTGTGACCTCAAGGCCACATGTGGTCCTCTAGGTCCTCAAGTGTCCTCGAGGCCACAGGTTCCCCACCCTGGACTATATCAATCTCTTATGACTGTTTCCAATGACATGTAAGAAAAGTAGAGATGCATCACCCCACCTGCAGTCCCAAGAAACCTGGCATCTTGCCTCTGATATTTAACTGACCTTGTGACCATCAGCAAGTTATTTAACCTCTCTGAGCCTCAGTTTCCTCATCAATAAAATTGGGATGATGATAATAACCTACTTCACAGGGTTGTTGTGAGGATCTAGTGAGACAAATCCTATTTTGCAAACCTTAAAGTACTATATAAATGCTAGTTGTTATATATAGGGTGCCTCCAAAGTCTTAGTTTTAAGTTTAAATAGCTATGGAGAAGATGTCAATCTGCAGTCTAGAGAGAATGTCCCTATCTGGGAATGCCCTAAAGCAGTGAAATCGCAGGTCCAATCCCTATTCCTAACCTATTTTAGGTATTAACAAGGTTCGCATTTCTTCCTAAAGAGATAGTTCTTCAGTGGTTAAGAGGACCAGGTTGACCATTTCTGCAGAGTTTCAAAAGGCAGAGAGGATGTGGTTACACATATTTTCTTTGTTTGGTTATTATTAGAATTTTTAGTTGTACCAACATCCCTCTACCGAGTGGAAAATGAGATCAAAGAATTTCTGATTGTTGCAATAAAAAGAGTTCACTTTTCAATAGTGTTTTAAAGTTGCAAAGATCTTCCCTCCCAAAACCCTGTGCAGGTAGGTAGTATAAGAATTATTATCTTCATTTTACCAACAAGTAAATTACGGCTCAGATAGGTTAAGCGATTTGGCCAGGGTATCAGGAGCAGGATTCACAAGTCTCCTGACTCTAAATCCTATCCTTTAGCTAGGTGGTACAGTGGGCAAAGCTTAGGACCTGGAATCAGGAAGACCTGACTTAAAATCTGGTCTCAGACACTACCTATCTGACCTTAGGCAAGTCACTTAACCTCTGATTCAGTTTCCTCATCTGTGAAACGAGGATTATAATAGCATCTACCTTCCAGGATTGTTTTGAAGATCAAATGAGAAAACATTTTTAATCGTTGTTATTTAGTTACGTCTGACTCTTTGTGATCATATTTGGAGTTTTCTTAGCCAAGATACTAGAGTGGTTTGCCATTTTCTTCTTCAGCTTGTTTTACAGATGCGAGAATTGAGGCAAACAGGGCTAAGTGACTTGCCCAGGGTCACACAGCTAGTGTCTGAGGCCAGATTTGAATTCAAGTCTTCCCAGACTTCAGGCCGCTCACTCTATCTACTGCACCACTTAGCTTGCAATATAAATGCTAGCTATGATTATGATTATTACATGTTGCATTTCTATGCCATGCTGCATTAACCTAGGCTAGAGTATAGCCACAAGTCTGTTTACTACAGGTCAGTTAGCACTGACAATATCTGATCAGGATGAGATTTGGCTCCCATAGATTAGGCAGTTAGGTGGTATAGTATATAGATCTTTAGACCTGGAGTCAGGAAGACTTGAGTTCCTGGGCAAATCACTTAGTCTCTATCTTCGTCAGTGTCCTCAACTATAAATGGGGATAATAATAGCACCAGAGGAGCTAGGTGGCACAGTAGATAGAGCACTGGGCTTGGAATCAGGAAGACTAATCTTCGTGAGCTCAAATTTGGCCTCAGGCACTTACTAGCTGTGTGACCCTGGGCAAGTCACTTAACCCTGTTTGCCTCAGTTCCTCATCTGTAAAACAAACTGGAGAAGGCAATGGCAAACCACTCCATGTCTTGGCCAAGAAAACCCCAAAATGGGGTCACAAAGAATTAGATATGACTAAACAACAAAAAATAATTGTACCACCTCTCAGGAGTGTTATGAGAATTAAACGCACTTAGCACAATACCTGACACATAGTCAGCACTTAATCAATACTTATTTCCTTCTTTTCTTCCATTGCCATCAGAAAATATATTTTTTTGATTGAAGGATATACAGGATTGATGGAAATCATTAGCATAGCAGTCTGTTCCTGCTAGCCCTAACGTGGTAGCACAACCTCAGCCCAGCATGACTCAACTAAACCTTAGCTTCCTGCACTCTGAGGTACGCTGTGGGCCCCACTAATATCAAACGCTCGTAGGGACCTTCGGGACACTGCCCCGATGTCAAACTGGCCCATAGTCTCCTCAAACAAGAAGTTTCTATACCCCTCACTCACCCAAGACTGAAGCACAGTTCAAACCCCATCAGAAGAACATAGATAGTTTTGAAAGCCAAGGTCCAAAGAGCCAAAATTCTAAGGGTGCCAGCTTTATAGATCTTTTTATTATTCTTATTATTATTTTTGACAAAGTGCTTATTCATAAAGGGTCCAGACTCATAGCAATATGACACAGAGCAGTGAGGAAGTAGATTGCTTAGCACAATGCTACCACAAAGAATGTTGCCTTGAGGGGAGAACAGTTATGTTAAGACAAGTGGTCCTTTCTCCTACATTTGGAGCCTAAGTGTGGACTCCTTCCCATACTCAAATCTCAATATCTGTTTTCTTCTGAACTCTTTTCTGTTCTTTTTGTATGTTTTAAAAAACAATTCAATGACCTCATTTCTTTTTTTGCACTTTTTTGGGGGCAACATTATTAGTATACCTTCCTTCTTCCAAAAGTCTCTCACCTCCACCCCCTCCTCCACCTATATGATGTGGGGTATAAATCTCAGTTCTGGTAATTGCTGTATGTGGTACAAAATGGAATGGGAGTAGGTGGGTGTATGCTGAACCTAATCTCTTCCATTTCTAATCCTGTGAAATTTAAAATCTATTAAACAACTTAATCTCCTTTACCCTAGGACGATTTGTGGTGGCTGTTTTCCGGTAGAAGGTTGAATTCCTCATTCCAAGGCAGAGAGAAATTACAGAATGGGAGAGAGGAACTTGTCTTTCTGTAGGGTATCCTTGTTTGATCTCCACAGTGAGGCTGGTCAGTTGTACTGATTGTCCCGGCATATAGTGTTGCGTTGAATGGCATAGGACATGTCTTCATACACGGTACTTGATGGATTCTGAGTCCTTCTTAAATTCTGTACCTGGAAAACAAAAGCAGTTTTTCCTATTTTTAGTTCAGTTTGAGTACTTAGCTCTCCTTCTGCAAGCTGAGCAGTCCCCTTAGGACTAGATCAGATGCCTTTTCAGAAATAAAACACTAACTAGTAGTAGTCTGTTGTTACTGGTTTTTTTTTTTGTTGTTGTTGTCATTGTTCCACAGTAACACCTTGTATTTGTAAAGGAAAGCAAAGGGGAGACATGATTCCGAGTTCAAATTCTGTTTCAGACACATCTGAGATCAAAGAGAGCCATAAAGGACCCAGAAAATCATCACTTTACAGATGAGGAAACTGAGACCCAAAGAGGTATCACAAAGTATTAAGTGGTAGAGGCAGAATTTTTGCCTACCTTCTTTGTCTCAATCCAATTCTGTTTTCATGGTGCCATGCTGTTGCAAGTAACTCATAGAATCATAGATTTTAAACTGAAAGGGATGTTGAAGATTGATCTAGCTCAAGATTTCTCAGTCTACTTTGAAGATAGATGTTTATATATACACACATATATGTATATATGTGTAAGTACGTGAGATATAGATGTGTATATATGTGTATATTATATATAACTATATAACTAGATATAACTACCTATATCTGTCTATCTATCCATCCATCCATCACCCATATATCTATCTATCTATCTATCTATCTATCTATCTATCTATCTATCTATCTACCTATCTATCAATCAAACCAAAGTGATTTCTGTCTCCCAAGAGACCCTGGAGTCTGGTACTGATTGGCATTATAGTCACGTTAGAGCTGAGCTTGAGATTTGTCTCCACTCTGGAAAAGATTATTTAACTAGTCACTCCCTACTTTCTCCTGCATCTCGTGGCTCTTAGTGAAATTCTTCCACTGGAAATTCTTAAGTCTAGGGGTTTTAGGTTTCTGACAAAGTTGGAGAAAGAAGCCAGGACAGTAGCCTAGAATGAATTTCTTAGCAATCTCTCTCTCGACGCACTCAAGCAAGATCCTGAGCAGCTAAGCAGTCCCCAAATTGTCCTTGACAATGAATTTTTGAATATCTACATCCTCTTCAATGTTCATCCTATAGAATTCCTTTCATTGTTTCATGATCTTCACATTTTCCTAATGATTCTTAAAATCTGCTCCTCCTTTCCCTACACACAACTTGATCTTTCTATCTGGTACTGGCTCTGACCTAAGTGTTCCATAGATACTGTAGTCTGGAGTCCCCACTCCAAGCGGCCCAACAAAAGAAAATGAGATGGTATCTGGGATTTCCAAATGATTGGTTTTTCTGTATCTCATATTGCCTCTTCTTCCTTCTGTACTTTTGAGAGAAGCTCAGCCTGTTGGGTGGGGAAATAGCCAAATGAAAAAACACAAGACAAGCCACAGGTCTGATTCACTTACCCACTTCTTCGTCATCATGAACAGTGGCCACAGGGCCAGCCCAATGAAGAAAGATGTCACAATCAAAACCACCTCCACCTGTGAATTCAGGTTTCCATCCTTTTTTTTCCATTTTTTTTCTAGGGAGAGGAAATAGCGAAGAGTGATTTACAGGGCTCTAAAAGCTGGGTCTCACAGGTAGATGGGGAATACTGAAAAAAGGGTAGCTATCTCTGTGTCCTTAGCTGCGTGACTTAACTCATCAGAGTTTCTGTCACCCTAAATAGTAGAAAAAACACTGCACTAGGTATCAGGAGTTCAAATCCCAACTATGATACTTATTAACTGTGTGCTTATATGTTGTTTAATGTCTCTGAACCTCAGTTTTCTCACCTGTAAAGTGAGAGTATTGGAAAAGAGGATCCTCCAGGTCCCCTTCTAGTTCTGACATTCTGTGATGCTATGACCCTAGGACCTAGTCACTATATTCCATCCTAGGGAAAAGAGTGGAGATGAACTTAGGCCAGGCTCCACCATGAATCAACACCTCAGGACTACTTGTCATGTCCTATTCTTGTCTTATATTCTTTTTGGTTTTTTTTGGGGGGGGCAATTAGGGTTAAGTGACTTGCCCAGGGTCACATAGCTAGTAAGTGTCAAGTGTTTGGTCTGAGGCTGGATTTGAACTCAGGTCCTCCTGATTTCAGGGCCGGTGCTCTATTCACTGCGCCACCTACCTTCCCCTCATATTCTTTTCAGTCTCAGTCTTTGCTCATGCCCTTCCTCCCCTCCTTTTTCTACTGAACACCTTTTGTTTCCCCTTTACAATCCAGCTTGGACAGCTAGGTGGTACAGTGCATAGAGTGCCAAGCCTGGAGTCAGGAAGACTCATCTTCCTGAGTTCAAATCTGGGCTCGGACACTTACTAGCTGTGCGATTCTGGGCAAGTCACTCAACCCTGTTTGTCTCAGTTCCCTCATCTGTAAAATGAGCTGGAGAAGAAAATGGCAAACTACTCCAGTATCCTTGCTAAGAAAACTCCCAAAAGGGGTCACAAAGAGTTGAACACAACTGAAAAAAATGAGTGAACAACACAGCAAGGTCTGGCTCGGGAGGTACCTTCTCTAGGAAGCCTTCCATGCTCCTCCTAACTAGAAGTGCCCCATTCTTCCTCTAAGTTCTTGTAGAATAGGATGGATCTATCAATCAGCAGGTACTTATTTAGCACCTATTATGTGTCAGGTGCTATTCTAGGTGCTGGAGTTACAAAAACAGAGACCAAAACAACTCTTACTCACAATCATAGAGGATCACAGAGTAAATAGATTTCAGAGTTAGAAAAGAACTTATATGCCCTCTAGTCCATTTTCCAGATGAGGAAAATGAATCTGGGAGATTTTGTGTCTTGATTAAGGTCACCAAAGTCAGAAATAGCAAAGTCAATATGTGAATGGAGATCCTGTAACTTCACAATTAGTGCTCTATCCACTATACCAGGAAACTTGTTTTCTGTTTATATTTCTCTTACATTCTGACTAAATTCTAATTTGCATTATTTCTATTCCGGTCTTATTTCCACTATTAGTTTGTCAGTTCTTGAGAACAGGGGCCATCCATATATTTATTTTATCCCTTTAGTACCTAGCACTGTATCTTGAATACAGTAGATGCTCAAAATATTTGTTGATTGAATGAGTGAATGAATTGTTGAATGATAGAAATCCTGCCCTAAAGGAGGTTATAAACTAGTTTAGAAGAAAGGACATATACATAAAAAAATCCTTAACAATACAAAGCAATACATAATTGAGAACAAGTGTTACATGAGATCTATCTAGGGAGAGCTTTTAAAGGATTTCTTAGAGCTAGTATAGTTCTTCATGAAAGGAATGGCACTGAGGTTGAGCCTGGAAGGGAGAATGACACTTAGGCAAACCGAGAGCAGAGAAATAAATTATAGTTAGGGGAAACAGGGGAAGCAAAGACTCTGGGAATGGCATTCACTTTTCTGAAGTATGAGCAGAATCGAGTACCTGTTACCACCACTATGGTGCCAGTTCCCAGGAGGTTTTCAGACGTTGTGGCTTCGCAGGTATAGACATCAGTGTCATTTAGTTGTATATTGGTTATTGTGATCATTAAGTCATTCAGGGACCCAGAGATGATGGTACGGTTCTTGTAATTTTTTGTTATGATGGATTTGTTATTTTTGGAGAAATGCATTACTTCTATGAGCATGACAATACTTCGCTTCAAGTAGAGTCCAGATGATTTTCCAGTGGTAGTGCAGGTGATATTGACTGTGTCCCCTTCTTGAGCCATGATGAATAGGGGAAATTGCTTCACCTCTAAAAAGGAAGAGACAAAGAAGTCATTCCCATTGAGCTGAGTGCTGTGCCTCTGACTCAGTGGCAGTGACACGACAAGCTCTGTCTGGCATTTAAAACACTTCACGTTCTAACTCCAACCTTCATTTCCAGCCTTATTACACTTTACTCCTCTCAAGCTTTCTATGGTCCAACCAAATCGGTCTTCTTGTTGGTCCATATATACAATACTCTTTATCTCTGCTTTTACATGGAATGCACCCCCTCCTTATTTCTGCCTCTTTCTCCCTTTCTCTTTCCTTCCTTCCTCGCTTCTCTTTCTCTTTTCTTTCTCCTTGTCTCTCTCTTTCTCTCCACATATATGTGTACATCTATATCTATCTATCAACTATCTACCATCTATTTCTCTATCGTTTATCTCTAGTATCTATCTACCTATCATCCATCTATTATTTATCTATTTATCTATCTTCTAATCTATCTATCTATCTATCTATCTATCTATCTATCTATCTATCTATC